GAAAAGGTAATTATGTTTTATATTCAATCGCAGCTGTGTCAACTACAACTCACGAACCAACAACAACAACAACAACAACAAGTACGACGGAGCCTGCCCCAGGTTAGACTTAGGCCATAATTATATTCCGATTTTCCTTATTTTAGTTCTATTACGAGTTTGGGGACTGTCTGTTTTAGCTAAGTGAATATTCCTTTGTCCATAAGTTTCAGTTTCATTACCCAACTTCATGTAAAATAGGCGAACAAAATTTTTCACCTCCATGTCGATACACATACTTCTGGAACGTCCGAAATGACGCATTGAACTTTAACATATTTCCCAGTAAAACAGTTTGAACAAAATGATTTAATTTCACAAAAAAGTTCACGTAATGTTGTTCAAATTGTTTCAAATATTCTTTTTATTCCATGGTTGTCTAATGCCGCATCAGCACATAACATGATCTTGGTAACAGCACTTGTTCCGGCCTCCCTCATTTTACTTTTGATCGTCATTTTGGTTCTTGTCTACGTGTGCAGAAGGTAAGAATATTGAATAGATCTAAAAAGACATTCTGACCTCTTCCAGAAGTCAAATACGCACACAATAACGTGTTGTCAAAGTTGCACGTTCGAATTGAATTGTTCCAACTGACAGATAATGAAATATACACTTAAAACTTTATAATCTATGTTCATGAATCTGCCGACAAATTAGCACTTTACTCATGATGTGTAGCCGATGTCATCTGCTTCAAATTAATTGGTCATATATATTTCTATATATAATAAAATATGTGTAATGTTACAGAAAAAAACAAAAACAACATCAACACGTAGTAAGCCTGGCAGAAAATGGAGGCGAACAAAGAGTCGTTCTTTGAAATAGAATCACGAGCCTCTGCTAAAGCCATATTTAATATTGTTCAGGCATGCACAGATATCTCAAGTTTGAGAAATTTACAGCTAGAACTACACATTGTTTTTGATTCAATTTCATTACGTATAATCTTTTTGTAAAATTTTAAATGAGAAGAATAGAGGAAGCCTTTTTTTGGTATAAGGATAAATAGAAGAGGTCTTTTTATGTTATATACTGTCTCTGTTTGTTCCCAACCACAACGAACTGTAAATATACTTAAACATGTTTGTTTGTATTATATTATCTGCAACATTCTGCAGCTTGGTAATTTAGAACTCCTAGGAATATATAAGAGAGTTTTACCCCTTTAAAACCATAGTAGAATCATTCATACAAATTGCGAAATATGTAGTACATTTTGGCCCATTTTCTCCAATTTAATTCTCGATACAATTTTTTTGATTCTGCATGGAGCTTCATAAACTATTCGTTAAACTCAAGTAGGTTTGGTTTTAAGAAAACAGTTAGGCAATATTCACAGACGTTGTGTTTTCGGCACGAGGCATGGAGGCCTCTTAGCACCAAACAGCAAAATAAATATAATATGGTATACATATATGAAGGTTGTTTTAAATTAATAAACGCAAATAGACATTTTCATATGTTCCATATAACATAAACACAAACGAAACGGATGATAATAAGGGAAACAAGAATTCAAAAAATTGCTCTTTGAATCACCAGTTTTCTCCGAATTCGTACTCGGAAATAATTGACGCCGCGTGTTTTAGAGTTTCCCGTGCGATACTTCATAGATTTTGGGTCGAGAAGTACTTATAATTCCAAATTGGGTAGAAGGTCGAAACGAGAAAATACAAAACAATATGCAGATTAAACGGAACCACAAACTGAAGTTGAAGCGAATAACATCGATGTTCAGATTGGGAAAGATTTCTTCAAGTAGTTGATCAGAAGACTGCAAATTCATAGGCAAAATTTGTTCGTTGCAATATTAGAATATGATAAGATTTTCATATATATCGCCGGCAGGGGATAAGGTCACTCAGTCAAATAATGACCCACAGCCCAGGAATAGTCAAGTGGTAAATCGTTTTATATGCATGGACTTGATGATCGCGTAAGCCGCAAACGACTAGCGGTTACATGGACAATTGCCCTCCACAGTATTCAATCCTACGACCCTCGCAAGGTGAGCAATACTGCAATGGCAAGCGTGTACCCAACGCTTAGCACATTGTGCCAACTTCTTTATGTCAATTTAACATCAAGTTATTGTGGCAAATGTGAACTGTTAACTGAATGATTCAGATTACTTGAGTTTTTAAAAGCTAACTTTTCTAATGTATTTCAGTTTTTATGCATTTTATGCAAAGTAATGTCAGAGCTCTCAGGCAGTCAATTGAGAGGAAAAAAAATTAGAACAAAGACAATGGGAACCACTGAGATACTACAAGCTATTATTTGTAAATCAAGCTATTACTTGTAAATCAACACTAGTAGAAACTATTTGGCGTGATGCTTGAATTAGTTCAGGTCAACTCCAACCAATTCGGAGTGAATACTATCAACATTCAATTGAAAATTTAATTCAATAAAATGAAGATAACATGCAAATATATAAATCAAATTCTTCAACAGAATACGTTCATTGTTAGGTGACATATTTAAAATACAGATGCTAAAATACAGAAGAACTCAAATTGTAATAAGTTTGTATAGAATGGATCTGTCTAAACACAATTTGTTGATCTGACTTGTAAAAGATGAACTGACAAAGATTAATCTAACAAACGCGTGAACCGATTCTGTGTCAATAATCACAGTTTCTAAGTTACTCCCCACGTTAATGAATACAATCCAAGCTGTCAATCCTAAAACCTTATGTCCTTGAAAAAATATGAAGCAGTATATATATATATATACTTTAATCACACAGCAAAGCGAAAAAGTGATCGTGTGACTCACGTCATCCACAGCGTCATAATTATAAAGTATTTAATTTAGTCGTACCGGCCGAAACCGTTATTTATATTTCTATCTGTGAGATAGAAAGTTGAGAAATAAATTTTAATTTGATAACGAATGGTACAAAAAATATTTCTGGAGACTTGCGAAATTAGATTTTACGAAAGCTAGAATCGTAATTTATTAATACCTAACTTAATTTTTCAAGATTTTACCTAGAATTGGGGTGAGTTTTGGATTTTTGTTGATGATGTTTTTTTATAAGTGGATTTGAAAAATTTTTAGGCTCAACTTTTATAGTCCAGTATTCCATGGTTTGTCATGTAGAATAAAAAAGATAGATTACCCATTCTTATGGCAAATTATGACTATTGCCTAATTGCAGTCAATCTTGAGTATGAAATAGGTACGCTTACCATACGCCCCGCTTTAGGCGGGACAGTCCCGCTTTTTAGCGTTTTGTCCCGCCGTCCCGACAAGTCAGCAAGAAACTTTTTAGCGTTTTGTCCCGACAAGTCAGCCAAAAGTCCGCTTTGGCATCCAGTCATCCAGTATAATACACGAACATGATCTCGTTACCGTTGTTGCTGTGTAGAGCAACGCTAGCCTACTTACTGGAGGTGAATGAGGTATTTTGTTTGTTTCGTTGTTTCTCGCTAACATTGTTGGCGAACGTATCACATGTAAAATCAATTCTAATTGGTCCTGTTGGGACGTTCACGCGAATGAAACATTGAACAACGTCCTTTTGAAGGTGTTATTTACAGAAAAGCATGTTTGGGCGAAAAAGTTAATTCTCAATTCTTGAAAACAGCAGACTATTTCGGTTCCATTACATTTGAACCCACGTACACTTGAACCCACGACAATTGCACCTGCGTGCTATTGCACATATGGAAATTTTTTTGTTTTACGGATAGTTGAACACATACTATGGGTACCCATACCCATACATACCCATGGGTTTTAGCCCCCGCATATAGATTGAACCCGCGGATATACACATGGCTTCAAATGTACGTGGGTTAAAATGTACGGTCACCGACTATTTCATTATTTTTTATTCGTTTTGTTGTACACAAAAAAAATCTAAATTAGGATCATTTGTATCGTTAGCGTCTATTCCTTTCTATTTTTCGAACTGAACTCGATATTTAGACAAAGAATATGCGCATGAACTCTCGATGACAATATGGTCAATGAAGACAGCCGGGAAGGCTTTTAAATGTAGGCCTATGTAGTAAAATTAAAACTGTAAAGTTACAGGATCATAGCTAAGGGTCGTGTCTCTGGAGGCGTCCCGCTTTGAAGTCAAAAAAATATGGTAACCCTAGAAATAGGCAAACACTTTACTAGTAAACGGATGTACTTTGAAGCATAAATACATAAAAGAGATGTGATCGCTGTCAAGCGATTTTCCACTACAAGATTTGATCAATTTAAAACAACGGGATAATGGTGGCGCTTACTCAAGGCTAATGTATTTCTGTCATCAATGTGACTTGACGCGAATATTTAATTTTTTTTTTATTATTTTACCTAACCTAAAAAAAAAAATATCTTTCATGCTAAATGCCATGCCATGATGATGATAATGCCTTATGCATACTTTCATATTGCTTAGGGTATTTTCAGTGGTAGCAAAGGAAGGACAGGAATTAAAAATCACCCAACTGTTTAGAAACACCATTTTCCTCCGAAGTACTCGGAAATAATTGAGGCCACGTCGTTCCGGGTTTTTCGCGCAGCGAATAATACATTTTGAGCAATTGGTATTTATACTTCTAATTCATAGAGTGAAAGGTAGAATCGAGATAAAGAAACAAACAAATATTTTGACATATGCTGGATATAGTAAACCAAAAATTTAGGTATCATTGGCAAGAGCTGATGTGATAAAAATCAATTATCAGGTGAGGTTATTTAAGAAAGAAGTAAGTGAAACTTCAAATCGAGGACATGTTTACTCGAAGAGCCTCGAACTTGTTTCACGTTTTGTTAGAAATAATAATACAAAATGTTATAAATAGTAATAAATACCAGTTGAATTTAGAAATCGATGATGGCGAACCATCTGCTCGCAGGTTTGTTATTTTGATCTTCAAATTGATTAATATCAGGTAAATATAAGTCATCATTGTTGAACAAAAACTTATGATTTTGTACAACTTATTATTTTGTTTACACAGTCTGTAATCAGAGGCAATATGATAACTCTCAGGATCGTCTATTTCACCATTGTTACCAGAAATTTTGTATGCTGTTCAAGTAACTGTTACAACGGCGAAACAGGTGTAGCAGAACAATGTCTTACGCCTTACGAATCCGTTGCCTACGGCAAGACGGTAGAGGCGACAAACAATTGCGGAAGCACGCGAAAAGAGAAATATTGTCAAATAGCCACTTCGTTCGGTGCTACCAAAACCTGCCAGGCATGTGATAATGATGGCAGGAAAAGTTTGCAACACAGCACGCAGTTTTTGACGGATGCTCACGATACCTTCAGGCCAACATGGTGGCAATCACAAAGTATTTTCGAGCAAGACATGGGACCGCAAACTACAGTTAACCTCACGCTTGATTTACGTGAGTTCACTCATATTTATTGCCTTTAGTCATGATTGTCTTTCTCGTTAGAATATGAGTAATCTGCTTATAGAGAACAAAAATGTTACATTTATTTTTAGTTAAATAAGTGAATTTGAAATACACGGTAGTTAATGGAAGCTATTGTTTGTTCAAACGCCTTCGGAAAAACTCGCCTGCAATAACGGGCAGTTTTACCTCTTCCTGTGAAAACAATGTATATAATATTGTATATGATTTTCAAATTTTTTTTTAAATCATCTCTGATGGCATCGTTGTGTAATTCTGAGAATTCTATTATTTATCGCTTTTCAAAAATTGTTGTACTGAAATCTAATCTAATTTTTTCTATATTTAGACAAAACCTACGACATAGTTACAGTTAAACTCAAATTTAAATCACCAAGACCAGAAAGCTTTGCTATATATAAGAAGACATGCACCACATGCGAATGGGAACCTTATCAGTATTATTCGACCTTCTGCCGTGGTACTTACGGAATTGAAACTAAGGTGCAATATTTTGTTCATAGATCAAATTAAAAGCATCATGTGAGGGGCCCCACCCATTTTACCATATATCATGAATAAGTCGTGTTGTTATCCACTAAGGCAATATCCCTACTTACTCCCTATGCTTACAACTTAGTTTCCGCTATAAGCAGAAAAGGGATTCTGAGAGGTTTTTTGGTAGTTATGATTAGAGGTAAACTTCGAACTTGTTTGATACATTAGTCACCACTGATGATCTAATCTTGATATAAATGGAACAAAAAGGCTCGGGCAAAGCAACCGCATACGTCGTAATTACTCACACACACGACACTACTTTCTCCTCATTCCGAAAATTTCTGCGTTGTTGCTTTTCTATCCCAAACTGATTTGATGAAAATCAACTTCGCAGATTTTTGAAGATGCAGAGGATTCGACATAAATTAACTGGATAGCTCGAAGCGTCATCATGTATATACTTTAATTATGTAAATTATTTTGTTCGTTCATGAAATCAATTTGATGTATTTTTAAAATAAACAGACGTTTTTATCAGACAATGAAGTCGGTTGTTCTGAGAGTGAAAGCGACATATCACCACTGACTGGTGGAACTGTTTCATTTAGTCCTCTACGGGGTCGACTTGGAAGCTGGGCATTGTATCAGCGAAAAGAACTCCAGGTACAAATATTAAAAATACTTTCCAAAGACACAGCCCAGTTAGACTTAATAAGAAAATTTTCTGACGTTTTCGTATTTTGCAATATCATAGACTGGGTGCATAGAGGTGACAAGTGATTCTCGCACAAGCAAAATTAAAGTAGCCCAATGATATATATATATATATATATATATATATTATAGGATTGGATAACGGCTTCTGCTATACGTATTTCATTAAACAACATGAATACATTCGGAGATGAAGTATTTGGCGATGAAGAGATTTTAAAGTCGTATTACTATGCTATATCCGATATCTCTATTGAAGGAAGGTAACTTTGATAAATTTCTACGTGATTGATTCTTCTTGGGAAGGATAGGAATGCCTAACGAATCTTTATAGGCATTTTCCTTTTTTTAGTTCTTTGTGTGTATGTAAATTGAATATTGTGCATATAACATGAGTGCAAATCGTTGCATATAAATACATTTCATCTGTAATTACAGAGTGCATTTAGGTTTATATAAAGATCGCGTGTAGTATGTTCCGGCATAGTGTCGATTCTGTCGAATCGTGCTCACTAACGTAATTTCCTATCAGTCATCGCGCTGAAATGAGCTTGATGACACATCCAGAATTAAACATCCTTCGGACAAGTTTGCTATCTTTCCAAGCCTATTTAAGAATAAATGCTACATAAAAATATATGATGAAAATTTGTTATATCGAATTTCGTTTTAACAGGTGTAAATGCAACGGGCATGCATCAGAATGTCGAGAAAACGACAAAGGAAGTTTTGTTTGTATTTGTGAGCACAATACTCAGGGAAATGATTGTGAAAGGTGCACCGATCTTTACAATGATGCACCCTGGCAAAGAGCATCTGAGTTCAATGCGAACGAATGCCAAAGTACGACTTGTTTGATAACGTTTAGGTTGGAAAATATCGCAACAAATTTTGTGCGTTATGTTTGGGCTCCAGATTCAAATTTACTTTTTGTTTTGCCACCAGAAAATGGAATATGACAAATTAATCTATCAGCACATTTAAAATATATATACCATCATTGTTTTACAAAAAACTTCAGAATGCGATTGCAATGGCTTCTCAAAAAACTGTGTATTTGACTCTGAACTGTATAAGAACACTGGTCATGGAGGACGGTGCGTTCAGTGTGATGGAAATACTACTGGTCCACATTGCGAAGTATGTCTGTCAAATCACTACAGGAAGTCGCCGATAGAGGAATGCCTGGAGTGCGACTGTCATGCCATGGGCAAGTTTTTTTTTTTTTTTCAATGAAACGTTCATTTTCAACCTCATTTTTCGGCTAGCAATAATTTGAATGTTTCGTTACCAGTAATTAGACAAAATAAAAATATTTAATAAAATGAAGTCAATCGTGTTTGAAAACGTGTGCGTACAGGATCACATGGCGAACATTGCAATGAGAGCGGAATATGTTCCTGCAAAGACGGAGTGAGTGGAGATAAATGTGACCAATGTCGTCCTGGATATTTTGGAATGTCAGAATCTGGTTGCAGGTATGCTTTATATATATATATACCAGTGTTTCTCTAAAACCGAGATTCAAGATATCAATTTTTTATAGTTCGGAGTGAATGCGCAAGGCCTTGTTTTGAAAGAATTTCCCAAGTCTCAATGCAATCAACCGCTATGCAATATCCGTGTCTCACTATCCGTAGTCCACTATTATTCGTTTTACCTAAACGATCCGTGTCAAAAATAGGTTGAGAAACACTGTTATATACAGTTGCTTACCTGGCAGAGAATAATATATGAGTGTAAATTGTTGCTATTGGTAAGGGTGCATGAAAAGACGGTGCAGAAAAGTGAAATTGATTGCTAAGTATCTCAGGCATGAGGCCTATTGTGTAAATCAGGCCTTTTTTGCAGTTCGCGGGCCAAAATTAAAGGTTGCAAGACTTGGCGGGCCGCACATATTTTTTAAAAAAAATAAAAAACGAACCGATGGCCGATGAATCAAAATTTTATCACACAGATCAAAAGATGAAATTTCAAATTTGAAGCAGCGAGCAAAGACGGCGACTACTCGTGAACTCAACTCAGTCATCTTACATTAGGAAAAAATATTACAAATGGCATTTATAGGACACTTTTGATACGCTTGATACGTTTTCATCAGGCGGCACATTGGATGAGGCCAAGATTAAAACTTTTTATAAATGGGCATCACTAATCCCGAGTTCTCAGCTTGTTTTTTGTAAAGTTCATTTTCGAAAATAATTTTTTGCACGCATATGTATTCCAAACATCGATGTGAATTTTTCGCATGGTTTGTCAAATTTGGCTAAAGTTTTTCTTCAATAAGTTTTTTTTTATAAAAATCAAGCTGTGATACATCTCTCGAATAGAATATAGATTTTCTCATTGGATTGCATCTAAAAAAATTGGAATATTTTTCGCGTCATTGAGCCCTTTGTACTTAGAATCGACTTGTCTGCGTTTTGTTGCCATTTATCTAATTATATTCAAATTATAGGCTCATTAAACGAGTAATTGTGAATTATATACTTGTCAGATTAATATAATTTAGTCCACACGTGTCTTACAATAAATTCTGTTAAAGAACATAATCGTCAAAACAGCCGTTTTGTCACTATGATTCACGTCGCGGGCCGGATGCTTTTACTCCGCGGACCGGATCTGGCCTGTAAGTTGCCGATCCCTGGTGTAAATGTACTAAGTCTTCTTTTTCAGTGAAGCACAGACAAACTTTTACCTGCATAGGCATAAATATTTGACCTTGTGCGCAACGCTAAACCACATCAATGAAATTCAGTGATCTTGGTGTTCAATATGAATTATTAGCCTACTCCGTAACTAAATACCTGTTTACCGATGCGACAATTTACATTTTATCTGATTAGGCCAGAACGCTCTCTATTTTCGGTGATTGCCTATACATATTTTTATGGAAAGTGGAGAGCGCTGAATATAAATAATTTATTGTTACGAGGCGAATCACAATAAACCTATAACTAATAAAGTAAACGCTCAGATAAAGGAGATTATAAGATCCATGTTGGGAAAGTAAACGCCAAGTACAAGACATCTGAATCAAAATGGTATCGCGGCCTTCTGATCGTCAGTTACCAATCTCTTGACTGATTAAGAAAATAGATGACCAGCTAAACGTTCCTGATGTAAGATTCAGATTAGCGGGTTTTCGGACATATTATTGGATTCATATTAGTTTTTAACAATAATTATTTCAGTTGATATCTTTGTAAATTATTTTTACTAATTTCTTTTCAGATTAATCAGACAATCCATCCTAACAAATGAAATGCCATAGGAAAAGTGCAATTGTTACATGGTCTTTTACAATCCTTCAGAGCTAATCACAAAATGATTTCCAAAATTGCCCGATGTCATGTCACAATTAGGACTGGGCATTTTCGAATACCTTGTGATTTCAGAATCGAATCGAATAATTTTTTCGAATCGAATCTCGAAAATATATAATTGTAAGCGACTTTATCATAGTAATTGGTCCCCTCTCTCAACAAATGAATTACTAAAGACATAGAATAAATCACTCAGATATATTACTGAGTGATCACACAGAATAACAAACACGTTTTATCAATAACTCATTACAGAAAATAGCCATATGTTAGAATTTCGTTGAAAAAATATGACTCTAATGAAAAAAAAATTGGGGAATTCACCTTCACTATTAGCAGACAGATAAAAACAAGATGGCGGCGATTCGAAATTTAGCTCTGAACCGATTCGAATAATTTACTATTCGATTCTATTCGAAATGCCCAGCCCTAACAATGGTTGAGAAATATATAAATAATTCACGGTCGTTTTTCACTTACAAACTTTGGTGGCATTTTTCAAGTCTGTACGCGGTCGCATATATATACATTTATTTTTTATTTGGCGAGTTGGACGCAAAGTACTGTATACCGTTTTGTTTATTCTAGTTGTTAGATAAGATATTTCGATTACATAATCAGCATAAACGGCGATAAAACGGTTGATAAAAACAAATAAATAAAAACTGATTATGAAATCATGTTTGGGTGATACCGGTATATCGTTAAATATTTTCTCTGTAGCTGATGATCAATCTATTTCAATTTGCATTACTTGTAGATTAGTAGAGGTGCTATGGAATTTACTATTTCAACGAAACTTCTGCTGTTATATATACTTCATTTAATAAGAAACGCCTTCAAAACACAATTCAAAGTACATTCGCATTGCTCATTGCTCTTGTCCGGATAAAAGTAGACTATTAACTAGCTAAGTATAAGTAGGTACGCAGGTAGGCCTAAAACTACCGGTAGGTCATGCGAGACTTAAACCAGTGTATCCAAAGTAATCTAATCAGAAAACAACCGTTCGAATAATGCAGCTACCAAAAATTTCAGATGAGCGCCGAATATGTCAGTATAAAAAAGTGAGAGACAAGACTTATGTGGAAGTTTATGGAATTTATTTTAAAAATTTCATATAAATACATCTAGTTCGTCAAGTTCCATCTTCATCTCAGTTGAGGGTAGAAATCATATTTTGCAAATCCAACAAGGATTGTTTAACTTTGCATATCTAAATGGAATTTAATGAAGTAGTAATCTGATAGGATCTATGTTTTTGTAAATTTGCAAAACAATTTCAAACTCACAAATGCAATCAACATTTTTATCGAGTTGGAATAGACTTTCAAATCATATGTTATGAACTAAACTTGAAAGGTTTCAAGGCCGGTATATACAAAATCATTAAAATGTATTTACAGTTTTCTAAGCCATGACAGAATGACATTAAAGTAAATGACGAAAGGAGCAACTTATATAACTCGCTTCAACATGTAATAGCACTATTGCGATAGGTGAAACAAAATTTTGAGCATAAAATACCTTGTCTTGGATCTTTTTCAATGACTGTTGTTTATCAATATTCTTTTGCTTTTCTTCCAAATCAAAAAGTTCCTTTTTCAACAAACTTTCTTTTTGACGTAAAGACATCAATTCTGTTTCAATGTCAATGAGACCCTGAAAATTAAAAAAAAATTAAAAATTTTGAAACAAGGTTAATAAATGAGCTGATCGCTTCAAATGCACACATCGATACCTTTTCTGATGCTGCAATTTCGAAAAAATGCAGATAAGACGAATTCACCCAGCCTATAGGTATGCAATAAATTCAGTTTAAAGGAATTGCATAAAGTATACCGAAAAAAAAAGTAATTTGCGATTTCAGGTATCTCTCTTTTTAATGAAGTATTTGAAAGCACACTATTCATCAGTAATAAAACATCCAATTTCGAGTTTCAAAACTAATAAATCTTCGACCCATCGATTATTACAGAGAGACCTGACGTGAAAGCATGACTGTTTTAGCAAAAAAAAAATGGACAAACCTTCAATTGCACAGAGACTTGAATATTTGTATTTCGAATATTGTTTGATACAAAACCGGGAAGTTCATCAACCCCATTATTAAATATCTTGATATCACATGATTTCGTGAGGCTTTTTATGACTTCCACATTGCTCGAAAAAGCATGATCATCTTCATTTCTACAAACAATTATAAAATGAAATCCTATTTAATGATTAAACAAACAATTAAATGACATATATACATTGTGTACTTACTGGCAAGATATTGAAATATTAGTCAAGGCAGAAGTAGGCACATGGAATGTTTGCCTTATGTTCCTTATCAACTGAATCGCATCTCTAACATTTCCCATCTCATTTTCTAATTGAATATTTCTGAAGTTATGCTAAAATATAGATAGAGAAATAGACCAAATGTTTAGACTCAAATTGAAATATGTAGATTTGATAACATTGTATCCACAACTCTCATAGTATGCCTCTGCCATCAGGAATAAAAAAGGTAAAATACTTTTTCTCATGGCAAATTACGACGGCAGACTATTGAGACTAATATTAACTCAAATGCCAGATAAATAGCCAGTGATTGTTCTGGACATACCGATTCTTCCGTAGGATATCCCGCAATCATAATACTTTGATAATTTTCGCTTTTGTTTGGAAGTCTTTGCCACAATTCTTCTGTAATGTATGGCATAAAAGGAGACAATAGACGAAGAAATGATTCAAATATAAATTCAAAATTTTTTTCAATCGCAACTCTTTCCGCAGATGATGAATCATTGCTGAAAACTGGCTTGCAGCTTTCCTGAAAGACACAGAGAAAAGATTAGTTAACGAGAGTTACAATCTAAGATCTGATGTATTTATCATGATTTAATCTGTATTTGCTAACTAGAATCCAAAAAATGACTTGGCAATGACTGGAAAAATGTCGACTTTGATTTCCTGCAGCTCTGCAGAGCCTTTACATGAGCATGCTTTCTTTAATTGTATGCTAAGAATGCTTATTCAACATAGTGCTTTTTGAGTTTGAACCTCAGTCATCACCAGTGAAAGACTGGAATTTCGACTGCAGATCCAACAAGTTTAAAACGATGACTCCAGCTACCACATCTATAGAGAATGAAAAGATCGACGCCACAGCCACAATTTATTTTGAACTATTATCTATTCAAGGACCATCAGCTAAGAACAAATGACCAAGAATATTACTTACCAAATAAAAATCAGCCAGGTCAACGAAAAAAAATTTATGAATGATAGATGATGCAGAAGAAAAATTTAACGAATCCAATCCTGTATTAGTTATATGTGTTGCAGCACTGAACTTGCTACGAATCCAATGATCAACTGGTCGAAGGACATGAATATTCTGTTAAGGATTTTTTTTTATCATTAATCATGTAATGAAGAGTTATTATAAGATACGAATCCTATAAAAAATACACAATCTGCAAAATTTACTACGTCTTTTCCACCAAAAACTCGAGCATCTGGAAAATCCCTAAAATTTATCCAATTAATTCATTAGTGTTTCTTTTTTTTTTTATTACAAATCTTACTTTACGCGGTGACATATTTTTGAATTTAGATACCTCAAAATGTCCTTAATAAAGTATTTAAAACTGAAAAGATTAAAGACAGAACGTTGGAGTCTCGAAGAAATATTTCTAGATTAATGAACTGAATGTATCTTTACCTATAGAACCGGTAAGATATCATATAAAAACTGATGGGAAAAATAAATATTCATAGATAGAAGTTGTGACAATACTTACAGTGTCTTCTGAAGTTTTATGCTTCCTAACATTCTTTAATAAAAATTTGAATACATTCCATATCTTGTTACAAAAATATCTGTACTGAACAACCGTATGAATATCCAGTGAAATATCTTTACCCTGGTAAGAATTACAGAAGATTTTTTTTCATAAGACTGAAAATCCATAGACAGATAAATGAAACATCATTCTGAACCATGCTTAGAAAGATATTACAGATTAGATTAGGCTTGTTAGTTGCAATAATAGGATATGATAAGTTATCCGTCATTGTTTTCTCTTTGGATCGGGCGTGTTCTGGATATCCAGATTGCCTCGAACCTACTTTGACATGAACTTGACATGATTTATTTAATACTGTTAGACTTGAATTACAGGTGTTGTTGCTCAATAACCAGTGAGGTGTCTCGCCTCCCTTCACCCTGAAGTACCATTTTTGATCTTTTAGGCATTGCTTATTCATAAATTGAACTTTAGTATGGTGGAAAAATAAATTACTGAGTACCTATTACATAGGCAGAAGAATGAAATAGATGAGGCTAGTTAGTTGCAATCGCAATATTAGGATATGATGGTATTTTCACATTTATGTCCGGCAGGAAAAAGTCGATAAGACTGCTTAAACCTACAGCTTCACGCCTAGCTACCATTCGGGCCGGGTATGGGAATAGTCTACCGGTAATTCGTTTAATATGCATGGACTTGATGGTCACGTAAGCCCCAACCAACTAGCGGTTACATGAACCACCCTATGGCGGCAAATTAATTTTTAATACAATATATCTAAAATGATACAATGAACGAAAAAATGTCAAAATATACTTACTGTGCTTTTATTGAAACATAAATAAAATCTTAAAGCATCAGTGCCACATTCTGGTATACCATGTGGAAGTGTTTTAGCTCTATCCTTTAATGCATACTTCTCTTCCTTCTTAGACAAATTGCTCATTTTTATTCTCTCGTCAAGTTCCTAAAACAATTTGATGGAAAATTGTAATAATGTTCTATTCCACTTTTTCAAAAAGTCACAGAACAGCTACACTCACATGTGGATAAATATTCGAGGTAAATTACAGTGTGGTTTCCAGAAGCTGTAACTGGTATGGCCATTCGTATTAGATAACCTCACAAGTCAGATAGTAACAACATCTAGTTTCGTCACCCAAATTCATAATTTTAAATATCTAGAAAATGCCTTGAGAAATCAGTACTCATTGAAGGTTTAGATCATTAGAAAAAAAACAGCAGAAATAATTATTTAAATGTTGATAAATTCACAAATAGTCATAATAAATGGAACAGGACACAAATTTCATATACCATCATCCTTTTCATTATGACTTATCACATATATAAATGCATCAATCATACTTTAAATTTGAGTTTTTTTTCTGTTAAGCATGGGCGAGAAACAACCAAAATATTTGCACAAACCTGAGGTGAGCAGCCATAAATGACTTGTAGTGGATCGATGACATTTCCCAATGACTTGCTCATCTTTCTTCCTTGTGAATCCCGAACCATGTTGTGAAGATATACTGTGTTAAATGGAACCTAATGCATAATATATGGCTATTTGGAAACTTGCAATAATATTGAAGTATGCAAAAATAATAATAAAATTTCCAAAGTGTACCCAATTTATGAAAATCACCTTCAATTAGGATAAGATTGACACAATTATCCCAGGGAGATAGATGGTAGGCCAATAAGACAGTTTAGTCATATGGCGGACCACAGCCTCTCATCCGGTTACCATTTCTCATCCGGTATGGGATTAGTGAGCCAGTTATTTGTTTCAGATACAGGAACTTGATGCTGGAGAAAGCCATAATCGACCAGTAGTTACACGTAGGGTAATCAGGGTTCAATAGCGAGCGAATTCCTAACAATTAGCACGATGCACCACACCAACACTGCAACTTATTATTTCAACTTGCCTTCCCTGTGAGTGCAATTCCCATCATTGCCATTCTTGCAACCCAGAAGAATAGTAAATCATATCCTGTCTCCATCAATGATAAAGGATAATATCTAAAAATACATAACAGTCCGTAAGCAACTTTTATTTATATAGCTTTGTATGATTTCTAGTAATGTATCAAAATTAATCATAATAATTTATGTAAGTTTTGTAGTTAATTTTTGGTTTAAACATTGACCTTGCAATCAATACCACATGTACTACTTTATCAGTGATCAAATAATTACTGCGCCCTAGGGCAGGTTAAAAAAATATAAATTGGTGGAATACTGTTGGTAAGCAAAACTCATTGCAGTATGAAATTCTGCTTCACACCTCCTACATACAATAGGCCTCAGCCTCAGTACATATCACTATGATTTTGATATATCATTGCATACAGGAAACAGAAGCAGAAATTGATATCCAAAACTTGAATTACCTACTATGTAATGCAACTTTAACTAGAATAAAAGTTTACCAACTTTTCCAAATCTGGATTATTTTCCGGCCAACCAAAACAGACAAAAGGAAAAAGCGCCGAGGAGAACCAGGTATCCAATACATCATCATCTTGTGTAATTGTAAGCAATTTCCCAGTTTCCCCGAATATTTTTTCAGCTTTTGATTTTACTTCTAATTCAGTGTGAGCAGATATCCACATTGACTCACTATTATACAGAACAATAAAATCAATCATAATGACAAAAAATTTAGTATGCCCAAAATAAAAGTTAAAATGATAACCAAATTGAATCTATCTAATCCAGTGTTCAAATATGGCTTTCTACGTCATCAAGCACAGATAAGTGCTTAAATACTGGGATTAGCATACTCGGCATGAACTGGTAAACGGATGAATGGTGTAATTCGATTAACACATCTTATCATCTTTCTTCTTCCCCAGGAGAAATGTAAAAATTCGATCCTATTTATACAAGTAGTCAGTTGCTATTAATGCTATTAAAATCAGTGTATACAAAGACCTTAACATTTTTGAGGAAAAAGATATACAGTTTTGGAAGTGGATCGAAATTTATACCACCATTTATCGCCCAGATCTGAAAAACTCGATTTAAATATTAAACAACTAAGAAAACTTGGCTCACCCTGTATGAGTTGAAACTTTATAAGCAGGTATTCTATGTCCCCACCAGAGTTGTCGAGATATGCACCAATCTTCGCTCTCTGATAACCAATTATACCATGATGCAAGATAAGAATTCGGTACTATTTGGATTTGACCTGTTTGGACAGCTTCGATAGCTTGTTGTGAAAGATCTTGGATCCTAAAAAAAATTACAGTACATATAGGGACCTTGAGTAAAATAATCTTTTTTTCTTGCCAAAATCAAGGCATGCTATATATAGAATCCAATGTTCATGTTCAAAGAACAAATTCAATAATTAATCGAACAATCGACGAGTATCATTATCCCAAAACAAACCTTCTTGCTAACTACAATGAATGAAATAATTTATTGGCCTTGTTTCCCGGATATGAGTGGGTGCTTGTTCAGACTCTTGGTATTATTTGTCAAATTGATTCAATCACATTAGACACACCTATCTGTTTTTCAATGTTGCTCAAGTTGGTAAAATCCGAAAAAAATAGTTCGTTTGAAAACATTTTTACTTCAAAAAATAGGTTTCTAGAATATAACTGACTGGCAGAGATATGTATATCTTTTATTCATCAAACCTAACAAACCAAATAATCAGAATTCCAATCCAAAATATTTAAACATAAAGGTGATACTTTACAATGCAATAAATTGATGATGTCATAAATATAGCTTGTATCTTCTAGGGCAATGGTTCTCAAACTTTTGGTGTTGCGGAGCCCTTGAAAAGGTTAACTAGTATCCACGAAGCCCCAAAAGAAATGTTAAAATTGTTACTTATCCATTAATATTCCTGAGTAAAGTTGAAAGTACTTAATTTAATTTAAATGCTAAACCTTTTTAATAGGGTTAATACAAGTCATAAATAAATCTAAATTTCAAAGGTAAATTATGAATACTAAAGCTGTAAATTTGACACTTGACAAACATTAAGAAATTAGGGATCGAATCTTTTCCCTTTTGACATTTTCGGAAGACCTAAAAGGCCGCTGATAACGTGCGCGAATGTATTTTGTTACAATCGCCGATTGTTTTCGTCAGCATGGCATGTTTTTAAACATCTTTACGCCGGTGTTTATTATCCCTGAATCGAAAATTTCCGTCGGCATATACATGTATTGTTCCACAATGACGACAATAATTGATTTTTTGTTCTCGTGGGGAATTATGAGTACAGTGTGAAAAACTTGTTAGTTGTTACCATATTAAAGTCATCGGCGACGAAATGCTTAAAATAATAATTAATAAAGAGGTAAATCCGCAACTCAAATTTCTTGATTGAAAAACGACATTCCGAAATATTGAAACTTAAAATGGAAGATCACACTATAAGTTTTTATAGCCATAGAAAATCACAAAATTTGGTGTTATGTTAGGTTTGCTTTGGTTATTCATCGTAGTAACTGCGAAATCGAAACACAGTCAATTGTGCGCGCGATATACCTTTTTTTCATTCTGAAACCACCGACAAAGTCGCATGCAATAAATTAATTTCAATCGTTCGTATTTTGCCGAGACCTTGTGATTTTTCAAACGGCGATATCCGAGATCGCAAAAATACGACTCTAATTTATTTATAGTTGGCAGTTTATCACGTATTTTATGTTATTGGACACGTAGTGGACATAACGATCGTTTCAATATTATGTTGTTGTTGTTGTTCTTGTTCTTTGACACGTTTTTAAAAAGTCGCTTTTCTCTTCGAATACTGGACCAATTGCTTTGAAATTTTCAGTGGTTAAAGATAAAAATTTTCTCCAGAAGGCTATTACTTTTTTTTTCGCTATGACGTCATCAAAATTATGTGACTCTACGTGTCCATATATTTGAGCATAGCTCTCTTGTTTTAGAATAGCAATTTTATTTTAGTAAACCTGATAGTAATTTCGAATCAAACGTGAGTAACGATGAGCACAATTAAATTATTACGGCAAGACACTTTAAATGCTTGCATCGGTCTCGTAATCCGTTTTTTTCTAACCGCGAAGAATGTTGCGAGGAAATTTCCGATTCCACCCCACCCCTTTCTCAGAAGCCTGTCTGCGCTCCAGTTTATAAATAATGTCATTTTTTAATTCCGCCTTTTCGCCATATTTCGAGGCTATATTGTTCCAAATATTATCAAAGCTGTTATTGCTTCTTTGAACAGTTACAAAATTAGTCAGTATTTTGAAAAGTAATCGAATAGCTCGCGGAGCCCCTGGGTTTCGCTCGCGGAGCCCCTGGGTTTCGCTCGCGGAGCCCTGGGGCTCCGTACGGAGCACTTTGAGAACCTATGTTCTAGGGCAGAGTTTCCCAGACTTTTTGGGGCACAAACCCCTATTTGTGAACCTTGGTTTTGACGGACACCCATCCTATGCCTCTGTGCAAAACTAACAAAAAAAGATTATGTTTCATTTACAATACAACAATACAAACAACATTGATGTGATGGGCGAGTTTTTCTGACAGCAATGGATATTCGTCCGGAACGCTCAACCAAAAAGACGCAATGGCTTTTCAAATTAAAATCAATCACTAAAGACCAATCAGACTCTTTCCATATCGTTGCGGACACCATGTGCAGTAATCGGGGACCCCAGTTTGGGAAACCCTGTTCTAGGGTATTATAATTACCTTACAAACCATTGCGTTTTAATTCTTGGTTCAACAACATCCCCAGATCTACTACAGATTGGCAAAGTCATCTCATGTGAAGTTTTTCCTCTAACAAAACAATGTTCAAACAAAATTCAAACTGATTAATTAGTGATATATACATGTTACTGCTATAACAATATGAAAAAGATTGGGTCATGCAGAGTAATGAAGTCAATAAATTAATGAACATTTGGAAATATTATTTATATAATGTGTTCTATCTTGGTTAAATAATCCAGTCTAAAAAAGTGGAGTTTGATTCCAACATATTCGTTGGTTTTGCAGGAGATTTGTAATTTGTAACTGGAACGACATGACACTATGTAAGCAAACACCATAACCAAAATGATGCCAATTTGACATAAAATACAACTTTTTTTTTTTAAACTGACTCTGCAGACAGAATAGGCTTTCAAGCTCTATTTAGAGTCCAGTACAATTTTTCGATATAAATTTTCTTCAACTCCTCAGGGGACAGCCTTGGCAACTGCCCCAACCACATTAGGATTTTTATATTTATCCTGGGAGTGAGGAAAGTCGATAGGACAGCTGAATCATATGGCAAACAACAACCTTTCGCCAGTCCATGTGAAACCTGCGAGCGCATAAAGTCTAATGTTTAGAAGTTTTCATCGGTAGTGTTCAGAACTTCATCTCTGAATATTCAATATCATAGCAACCTGAACTTACCGGTACATTGAATAACCCATATATTAAAATATCATTAATAATTGAGTTCCAACCAAATATTGAGAATCCGAAAAATGTGTTCCCAAATCAACATACTTATATAACCCAGCCTGATCCAATGATTTGATTACTTTTTCTCTTGCTTCGAACCTTGGCAAATTATCAAAATCTGGATTTCCCGTATTTGTGATATTTCCCTGATCATCAAGTATAATACGAGATGGTAAACCATGTCTCGATCCAATTTCAAAATCCCGAAAATCATGAGCCGGTGTGATTTTGACAGCACCTGAAACAAAGTTTAAATTAGGTTCTCCTCAGATACATACGAGAAAATAAGAGGTATGGATGACCCAAAAAAAGTACCCATAAATAAAATGTCACAGTTTTTGTAATAAAATTCGGGTGGCTTTCAATAAACAGATTAAAATAGAAATTAATGTATCTATAAAAATCAATTTCAAACAATGGTTTTCTGTAATTCATTACATTTTAACACAGATGTTTGATGAAATATCAGAATTCAAAGAAATAATGATGGCCAATCATGAACAAACAGGTTCCACTTTTTATTATGACTCACCAGTCCCAAAATTTTTGTCAACATAAGAATCAGCTATAATTGGTAAAACCATATCAGGTAACAATGGATGTTGTACAAAGGAACCAATCAATATTGAATACCTGGATAAAACTTAAAATTAATGAATTTCTATGTAGCCGCTATATAATCTAAACTTATTGACAACAATATTAACCCTAAAAATAGAATCTCCTTGAAGGATTGCTTCCCAACGGCAATCACATAAATAGACTACTCAGTTCTGAAGAACTTAGTTGAAAAAAAAATAGAATATTAAAATATTGTATTGTAATTAACATTTCAGAAATCAAGGTTCTTTATGCAAAATTTGTCCAATAATGATATTAACAGTTAACAGAAATAGAATACTATAATATATTTAAGGGAGAATTCTAAAGAAAAATTTTATTCAGATAACACGATAGTTTAATCTCCAACCAACAAAAACTTAGATTCAAACTCCCCGATTTTAGATTCTAAGAAATATGAAATCACCGAACACTAAGTAACCTTGGATCATCTGGATTTACAGCAATAGCAGTGTCTCCCAACATTGTCTCAATTCTTGTTGTACTGACACTGATAGCATTCCTTTCTAAATTAAAATCATCAATATTGAATAGTACATCCAAAAGTCTGTATTGACCATTAAAACTGAATTCACAAATTTCAAAGAATACATTGAGCAAAATATACCTTGGATTCATTCTAATATTAATTGGGTCAAATCTCAAATGACATGTCGCAACTAATTTCAATGAGTCAAACAAAAAGCTTTTTTACAATCTTATCTTTCTTGAATTTACGTTCCAAGATCTCTGATGGTACATTACTAAATCAGATGTTTAACAAAAAAACAAAAAAGGTGTAGCCTGATAGAAAAGAAGTAGTCGAAACTCGAAAGCAGACAGGAACTTGCGAATGATGCTTGCTTTTAGTCCTAAATTAACGAGAGAGATTCTTTTACATCCTTACAGCCAACTGTTGGTGCAATGGAAGCGTGCAAGATTGGTAATCAGTAAGACTCGAGCAAAGTGAGTTTGACACCTGTTGAGGACAGGTTGATAATGACAGAAAATCCCCAAAAAGCACCGACCATCCATAACAATAGAAGTTTCATTAAACTATACATCAGGTGTGTCCGTGGTCTCAGCACCTTCATCTGCAGCCCGAGGATGATGTTCAAAACCCCCCATGTGTGCATCTGTCCCACAATAGATCTAGCATGAATAATCTATAGCATGTAAGTAGTTACATAGAATCTTTGACAGTGAAATACAGTTCATTCTATTTCATTAAGGGAAATGAAGTTGGATTTATGGCAAAACTGATCATTCAAACACAAGATTTTCCAATAAAAGATGACAACCTAGAACAGACACCACAAATATATTTTCATCTATCCTATTTGAAAGCATCATGTGAAACATAAAAAATAGAATACCTGTTGTGGGGTTGACCAATGGATAATCAAAAGTGTGAAGAACTCCAAACTCCATTTTCTTTCTATAACCTGGCACTGATATCATAGTTGGCTTTTCCAATTGTTTATTGTCTATTTCAATGTCAGAAATCGTTGACTGAAGCTGACATGACCAGTTTATTAAACTTTTCTTCCTATAGATTATGTCTTTTTCATGTAGTCTGGAAAGAGCAGGAGTTATGAATGACAATCATTAGGTATTAAAATATTTCATTTAGATTGCATTTCAAGTGAAATTGCTCTCACAGCACAGCAAACTGATCGGACAAATGTTGTTGGGACAATATAAAATTGTAACAGTAGAGATATCAATCGAATTCATGATAAAAAGATGAGTTACGATTGGCAGTAATAATAAATAACTTCATCACCAAATAATGATTAATCAAACCTCACACCAAAAAGATATGAGGCCTTTCATTATGAATTCACATACATCTAAAACTTCTCATTCATCATGGTTTGCATCATAATGCTTGAATCTAATGCAATAAATCTTAATATAAATGCAATTAATCTTAAGTTAAAATAGTTTAATTCAAAAAGATACAACCCTATCCATGTCAGCAATGCCCAATTTAAAAAATTGTCTGATAATTTGAAATAAACCTGAATTTTGCTTGCAAACAAGATTCCAACGAAAAGGATGATGTGCAATATTTATTCAATTCCAAGACAGGATACTTTAGTTTACACTGTAAGAACAGTTTCTTTTAAAAAAAAATATAGCAATTACCTTATAAAAGCTTCCCTGACTGCATGACAAAATTTTGGACTGAGAGTAAAATTAGTTCTTGTCCAATCAAGTGATGATCCGAGTACACGAAGTTGATCATATATTTCTTCTTCTTTTCTAAACAATACCAACCAGTCACAAGCTAAATTTGAGGGGGGAAATTTGTGTGAGATAATTTAAGAATTGAAATACCGGTCCGGTATATAAATTTGATGAATTTTACCAGTAAACAAATACAGAAACCTTAATATATTTTATTTTGTTATAAATTAGTAGAATATCTGCCGTTACAATTACAGTAGGTTCAATATTACATTAGCAGAAGGGGATGATGAAGATCATTGAAAACCAAAGTAGTTTGATGATGAATACATGGTTCTTCCATGATTTTGTGAAGGTTTCTTACAGATGTCATATCAGAACCAATGTAGTTCCGTAGTAAGTTGCTAGAGTCATCAGCAGTGTTCCCTCTAAAGTGTGCACGTGTGTGCGCGCACACAGCTTTCAGAGGCTGCGCACACGCATTGATTTACTGCGCACAGACGTATTACGATGTAATGTAACAATGTTCTCGGTTGGCAGGTTGAGAAAGTTTGTTGTTGGCCCACTTATTACCCGGTTATCATTGGTTTTTGCACAAATATTAGTCATTTCCAAAAAAGTGCGCACACACCAAAGTTTCTGCGCACACATACTACAAAAAATTAGAGGGAACATTGGTCATCAGCACCATATAAATTTCAATATACTGCAAGAATATGTAACAATTACACGCGAACCTATCTTTCCAATTCCAGACTTCTTGCACAAACTTTTCTCTGCCAAGATCTTTTCTGGTTGTATTTTTAGTTTCTAATAATTTCTCTACAACAGCTTGAGTAGCAATACCGGCATGGTCACATCCAGGTATCCAAACTACTTCTTTACCCCTCATTCTATTCCTTTATAAAAAATTAGATATCAGTCAACAATACTTATATTAAAACTGGCTTTGTGCGGTAGGTGTTGAATGAAGCCAGGTGAACAATATGTTTATTTCCTTGTGGTTTATGTGTAAACTTCACAAGATACATTCACGATAATCTACTACTGATGGAGGAGAATTTTTTATTTTTATAATGACTATTAATATTAAATGAAAGTATCTTGATAAGTGTGCACTTGTTGCCAGGGCATAGTTAAATAAAAGTATTCTGCTTCACTGAAACGATCAAGGACGATAAATTATGTTCATTGATTAACACAAAATTAAAAGCAGTTTTCAATGTGCCAAATTTTAATTAGAATTCTCAATTCATTAGTTTTACCATATGCTACCAATTACTCCAAATCATGAAAATTTTTTAAAAATATTCGACTAAATTGTCTTACCATCTACAAAGAACATCTTCTAATGCAACTGTTAATGCATGGCCAAGGTGGAGTTTCCCGGTGACATTGGGAGGTGGAATCACCAAGCTAAAAACGTCTTCATTGCGCCTGGATTTCGATGGCTTGAAATATCCTTCCTTTTCCCACCATTCATACCAACATGCTTCAACAAATTTTGAACTGTATGTTGATGGCAGTTGACATGTAACATCTAATGGAAAAAAATGAAAGAAAAATAATACAGAACAGATTTTCAATAGTATGGTAAATGTTCAACATTAAGTAAAAGTGAGTGAGTTTATTTTGAATTTATAATTGGTGTACAGACAATACATGAATGATAAAACAACACTAAAGAATGACAAGAGCAATAAAGAAGCCTATTTTCTCATAAATAAACAAGGTCGGAAAAACACTAAAATTTAATCTGATCCATTCTTGTAACAATCTATCTAGAAACACAATAAAATAAGCAATAAAACTATAAACTTTTCCTGAAGTATATGAAAAACAAAAGGACTAAAAATATGATTACTAAGTACAGAAGTAAATATACACAGAATCGCAAGTAAATTTTAATACCTTTAATACCTATTTACCTTTCTTGGCTCCAGATTCAGTTTCACATTTATATTCAGCATGAGATAAATCAGTTTTAATTTCTTTTTGTGTTGTGGTATTCTAAACACAATGAAAAATTAATTTTCACAAAATAAGAGGAAAGTAATTTAGGTGCTCCCGAAGTATGCGAACCAAGATGGCGGACATCGGAATGTAACATGGGTAACAGGTAGGCTTGCACGTAATTGACAAAAATCAATTCCGTAATTACGGCAAAATCAATTACGTAATGACCCCGTAATTGCGATATTTTTCCACGCATTTAAACCTATCGTAACAACCAATTGAATCACTTTTTCCGAATGGGACATTGAAGTTTGGGTTTTTCCTATTCTTGGCAAGTACTACACGCCGGCGGCAGATGTTAAAGACAACTATCAAGGAGTGAATTCAAATTAATTTTATTCTGATTTTTATCTTTTGTGTTAGCTTTTTGTTTTCTTTATCACCTTCGCAAATTAACCGTCCCATTTTTATGCGATTACAATTTTATTTTATCATTACGGACACTGGTAATACAGATATTTATGGAAACGAATAGTTTTTAGAAACCACCTGAGTACTGAATAAAATTACGGGTTCTAATTTATTAACCAACGACGAGCGTATTTTCTCATTTGATTATACTTGCGATTTCCTCGCGAACGAAGACTTGTTTTTTGCAGCGTTTTCTGCATTATCCGACATTACTGCCTTGTTAGCATTTTTATAATAATAATTATTGATGTCGACTATTGACGATATTCCTATTACCATGCTTCATTTTACATTCAATCATTTTCGCGAACTGAATGTTTATAACATTTATTTGCGATAAATTTAGATCAAATATTATTTATTTGCGTATAATTTAAATACCGAACTTATATGACATGCCTTCTCCGAAAATACAAAGTTATATCACAAAACAATGCATTTTGTGACATTTATTTTACACTCACAACATTTATTTGCTAACTCAAGTCGGCGATCCTATAGGCCAAGATTGACAAAAGTTTGGTCGAGTGCCGGTGGTATTCAAGTCGACGATAAATCAAAATAAGTTGCCGCATTTGGTAAGACAGTTAATCATATATGGCCCAAATATTGAGAGGAATTGTGAAAAACATCATGAGCAAGGCCAAGTCCGGACTGATATATAACGATAAAACCGTTAACAGAACATCAAGATTTTGTAATAGAAAATGGATCTCGCACAGAATAAACACACAGGCTCATATTTGATTATATATGTATGATAGCAGTTAAATTTTCAACGGTCCGCGAGGAATCCGTCGTTTTGGTTCATTCCGCAATCTCTCTTTTGTCGTCATATTGCTATTTGATAAGCGCGACATTAATTATCACGGCGAGGTATTGGCGCGAGTGATCAATCGCTCTTTTCGCTATTTGTTCCAATTCGGTCGCGAAAGCTCTTCGTTAAATTTCACAAGATAGTCGTGTTGAAAGGTTTATGGATATTTTCCTGTTTATACCCCAAGCCTGAAATGAAACAGCCAAAACAATATGATATTCCATGTTCATATATCAAGTGTTGATATTAACAATAAAGAAATGGTTAAGCATTGCTAATCCACACTTGGTGGGGAATTCCCACTATTCAACGCGTGACTATAAAATAGAATAAAATAGAAACGGAACATACTATACCATAAGTAACGGAAAACTGGAACAAGTAAATAATAAATAAAAAGTAAATGGATACAAATGTTGATAGACCATGTTTGATAGATTGATTCTCCTGCGTTCATTAGTCATTTCACCCGAAGAAGTTGAAACCGGGCGTGTTAGCGTCCATCTGTCTTAACACAATTCTTCCCCCTATCTGCGGTTATTATGTACATTGGCCATGGCCATGCTAGATAAGATGCGAGAGAAGTTGAAACCAGGTGTGTTTGGCGTCAATCGGTCTCAACGCAATTCTATCCCTTATCTACGGTTAAGTTGCGGGAGAAGTTAAAACCAGGTGTGTTGGCGTCAAACGGCCCTACTCAGTTCTTCCCCCATTAACTACGTTAATAATTTACATTGGCCACGCCAGATAAGTTGATAATAGGTTAGTAAATGGCAACGCGTCATGCCTTCCTTCACCTACGTAACAAGAGAGAGAAAAACGGCTGCGAATACCGGAACTCTAACTTCTTCTACTTGTTGAGCTTTCATTTTCGCAATCGACGAAATTGACTGCTTTGAAGAAAGCTCGTTTCAATGCAATAATTACGACTTTACGTAATTCGTAACTTCCCTTCCGTAACTCCAAATAATTACGTAATTCCGTAAATTACGTGCAAGCCTAGTAACAGGTTAGGGTTGGGCGATAATTTTTTTCCAATTTTCTTTATTTTAGTCCTATTATCAGTTCGAAGACTAGCCAAGAGCCTCCCGTAGTATTTATACCTAAAATTATGGCCTAACCCTAACCTAATACACATATTACATTCTGATGTCCGCCATCTTGGTTCGCATACTTCGGGAGCCCCGAAATTTATTTATTTTCATACAGAAACGGCTGTCCCGAACCAGTCTGAATGCTGGAATGTGTGGGATGTAGCAGCAGACAATCATCTTTTTTAATAGCCTAGTCTATCAGTCTATATCGTATACCAGTATACCAGTATTTGCTCCAGTCAGCCAGTAGGCTAGTTATTGGCTACAGTTATAATAATGACCGGGAACTCAAAATTCTGAACTTACACAAACAGACATACCGGTACCGGTACCGTACCTGTAACTTCTCAAGTTGCCTCAGCTCTTTTTCTTGCTGTCTTTTTGCTTTCGCCTCCCGCTTCTCCAGCACACTAGAAAAATACCTCAGAGAACAGCGAGGTACTGATGACCATTTTTTTCTAATCATACTACTGTACTATAAAACGTGAACACGCATTGTATAACTGTATAGTTGTAGGAACATCACAGATAAAATTTATCATTATTTTGAATTGAGGGGAACCACCGAAAAATGTCATATTAGCAGGAGTCGTTTGGAATCGAACACGTTTCCCGTCCGGTTTCCTTTTTCATTCATTTTTCATAAATTGTATTTCAAAAACTCAAATGAATTTTCCCGCCCACTGTCGCGATTAATATGAGACACTGTCCGAAAGTTTCGACCGCCGTCGGGTACAGACGTGATTACCGTGTTTCCCCGAAAAAAGACTGGGTCTTAGTCAAGTCCATGGGTCTGGGTCTGGGTCAAGTCCATGCTTCCGAAAACAAATAACTAATCCCATACCCGACCTGGACTGGTAACCGGACGAGAGGCCGAGGTTCGCAATATGATTAAGCCGTCTTATCGCCTTTCCTCTCCCCTGGATAAATTATGTAAATCCTGTCCTGTCCTGTTCTTATTTCGATTTTTCCAAAAATACCACTAGGGCTTATTTTCGGATGATGTCTTATATTTTCATTATCAAAACAAAATTACAAGGTAGAGAAATACGAGATATTCAAATATACAAAATATGAAATCCGATATCCATTTAGTTATAAATAACACGTTTTAATTAAGAATAACTGTAAAACCAGTATGTTAGTCCAATGACATTAAACAACATGATAGGCAACTCTGACGTCACTCCATAAGACTACAGGCGAAAGATTGTATTTCATGATACGCTCCAATGCACATATTTCTCGTCGCCTTTCGCGTCTGTTTTCCGCTCGCTTTTGCCACTTGGCGTCTTTTTTACGTGTAGTACCTGCCTTTTTACGCCTATAACGAAACAAAATAATCTCTATATCTATGAAGTTTTGATCACTTGGAAAGCTGGAATGGCAGGCAAGCTGTAAAGAGCAATTCTGGACATCATAGACGTTTTTTTTTATCAGAGAAGATTACAAACGCGACAGCGGAAAAATTTGTGTGGAACATTTTGCAGATAATGACAAAGTTCAAAGTTAGTAATTTTTAATGTTTGCGCTTAATCATTGAAATTTTATTTAAAGAGGGTGTCATACAAAACTGTGCTGTGATACAATTCCATAACACCAAAGTTTGCACCTATCGAACTTGCTTTTGTAGGTGAATTATTAGGCATATTACATATTTCAGTTAATCGTAGATAACATTGCTGGTACATAATGCATCGTAGATAGATTTGTTTAAATTTAGCTCATAGCTCCACTAATTAATATTATCTTCTATGCTGGAGGTTGCAGGGCTGAATTCAACTTGCAGCCTTACCGACCACCTGGCAATGCTCATTTAGTTTGGCTCGAGCCAGTCTTCTTGAAATGCTTGTGTGGATGGAAACTACCTATATTTTTTGCCTTCCTCTGATTTAAACAAATTTATTCTGAGGATTTCTCATATAATTCTCATTGGTTGTTGGCTGTTTATTACTTCCTATTGATTGTGAATTCTGATTATAACAAAAAGTTAAATTTTTTTATCTAATTTACTGGCACCTTTTTCTTGTCAAACTCCAAGCTGAGGTAATAAACAAGACAATACATTTATGTCACCTGGAAGCAAAATATGCACATTAATTAATAGTTTGGCACATTGAGATAATACACCATGACAGAAAATACAAGTTAAAGATATGTATGACCATCACATGGTAATTAAAATTAAAAAAACTAATAGGGGCTGTGGAGTATGAAAAGTTCAAGACAAAGAAAAGACAAATGTTCATAGCTCATGAACCAATTTTGCCTCCATTTTGCTTGTGAAGGCCAATATATTTCGAGTGGCTGAATTGGTTTACCTTTATGATAGCAACGATTTTGTATTTAATATAGCGAGATTATTTCAATTTCAATTGAAGTGATATTATTTCCAAAGCAATGCTTGAATCGTCTAGAATAGATCAGTGGTGTCAAACTATGGGTTTTCGAGAGGCGCATTGCATTTTGGAAATTGTAAAAAGAGCCGCAAACAGTTTTGATAATGTATACTTAAAAGATATTTTTTAGATAGTTTTAGTTTGTGAATATATTGTGGTGCAACTAAACAGTTGGATTAAGTTTTATTATTTTCTTCAATTTCAAATGCAATTACATATTAATATTTGCATTCCACTATTATTGCAACATTTGCAAGTTACTGTATTATTATAAAAAATCATAAAATATATGTACAAACCATCAAAATCATTTTTGAACAAGCTTTGAATAAAGGAAAAGATAATACATACACTAAAAATAACTTTAATCTAAATATATGAACCTAAAATTAAACGAAAAATACAACAGTATAAAACTAAATGTTTTAATAATTATATTTGTCCTGACGTTTGACAATTCTTTCTTTTGTGTCACCAGCATACTAAGGCCAGACTGAAATGAATTTATAGTACCAACGCTAACTAACGAGGGCCACATGATCATGGGTTTAATCTGGATCTGTTGCGAATGTTTAATTAATTCAGTAATGCAAAAAGTTACTTTTATCATTTTCATTGTTAAAGATCAGTAAAAAAAACAAATGACAGATTTTTTCGACAAGACATTTCGCACCACATTGCGTGGCATAGGATTGCTTGAATTATTATTAATATTGATTTTTAGTAACTAAGTCGTTGTATAATTATATAATATACAAACACATGGAAATTTTCTGTTCGAAGTTGGCTCTTCGAATTTGTCATATTGACTGCTGAGCTTATTGTGTTTTTTGCATTGTATTGATGGAAAATATGACAAATTAAACAATGTGCTTCAGAATTTTGTGAAAAGCAGAAATGTTACAACTCCCATTTTCTTCGAAAATGGCCACCTTCTTCATGTACTTTACGTTTAATTTAATCACTCAAGTGTTTTATTCAAGTATTCTTTTGCAAGCTTGATGTGTATTCCTTAATTGGGTCAAAATGTGGAAAAAAAAATTAATATTCCAAAACTACTTTCAGTAAATTGTTTTCTGTGTGAATAAATCAATTTCACTTAGAAGGTTTGAAAATCTATTACATTTAGATGAAAAAAAAACTTCCAAAATACTATTTACAATTATTGTTAAGCGTTCGAGGGCCGCACTGGAAGTTCTCTGGGCCGCGAGTTTTGAGATCCCTGTCTAGATTGAAGTTGTCCAAAAAATATATGAATAGTATTTATCATGAATGATGATTATACCCCTTCCGGAATTTCTTCTATAGTTACTACCAAAAGTTGATGAACCAAATATAACACAGGTGCAGTGAGGTACCCGTAATCCTCATTTTCCAAAGCTGTTTTAAGTATGTCTGGCGTGTTTTGTGCCATTTTACAAATAAGACCGAGTATGCAATTTTACGCTTTGGAATTTTTAGTTATGTTCCTCAAGCCCTGCAGGATGTGTACACAACTCTACCGGAAGGTCAAATGTCTTTGCATGCCTCCATAGGTTGTTTTTCTATTGCCAGGAGTACATCTAATTATATTTCTTGGAATCACACTGTCACTGATATGTCGCCAGACTTCTGATATCTCCCCTTCTGCTATAGTTGTCCTGTGAATAAATAATAGGAAATTTAGATTAGACGAATAGTTGAAAGTTTTGCTTTATGTCGGCTTAATTTCTTGATTGATATACTTACTATTTCTGCTATTGCCTCTTGTGCTGCAGAGTCTCACAATGCTTAGACAGGTTTGTCCACAACTTTCACATCTGAAGAAAGAGAGGAGATTTATTAATTTTCGTTAAGAATAAATAAAGCAGTCTATATGATTTAGAATGGAAAAGCTAATAAATCCAATATCTCATGTTTTATGTAAAAATATTTTACTGAATTTGGTATATAAACCAACTAATAAAAGGGTTTAGTCAGAAAATTACAAGCATTCGTGCTCCAAATACTTGAGAGATCAGACTATACAATATAGACCGGTATGAGTGAAATGTTAGGTGAACTTGTTAACACTTTGATTCAATACGCAAATAAAAGTGAATGCGCAATAGTATGTTACAATGAGCAGCAATCAACAATGAGTATATATCCTCACTGATTAAAAAAATCTTAACTGGAGGTGCATGAACTATTTGAAACCATAAGGGGTAAGTAAATATGTAATTTCCGCAAATGGGCAACTACGTACCGTACTGAATTAATAACTTCGTAGTATTTGACAAAGGCTGGCTTTCCCACCTGTACTTAACAGTGCGATGCCCGGGTGTGATATACAACAATAGTATTACCTTACCTTTTTCCGATTTCTTTTTACCTTAACTTTCCAAAATATCAATAAAATCGACAACAACTGTCAAAGCAGGCACGAACACCATTCGTGCTACGCCTTGAAAGCAGCACACATCCGCTCGTTTTCGTCTCGTCAAGTATGTGCATTGGAGCGTGCTATCGAATACGATCTTCGGACAAAAATGCCGGAGTTGCGCATCATGTTGTTTAATGTCATTGGTTAGTCGTTGGTAAAACATAGGTTATAAATCATTTAAAACGTGTAGGAGAGATTTCTTGCTATCGACTAGTTCAAAAAAATGATTCGCGTTTTTTAACTAGGTCTTATTTTAAGGGGAGGGCTTATATTAAAATCATTTCTAAAACTCAGTCTAGGTCCTATTTTTAGAGTAGGCCTAAGTCTTATTTTCGGGGAAACACGGTACGTGAATTATATACGATCCGAAGATATTTGAGATGTTCGAGAAGTAAATCGTATGACAACAAGAAACAAACAACAGATACAAGAAATAGCAAATTTTTGACAGTGGGACTGGAAATGTACAACTGGGGTGCGAAAATGGAAGATGTTTAAGCGAATTACTGCACGTAAGCATGAACATAGATTCAAAAAGAATCAAGCTTGGATTGCTCCCCTTATAAATCGGACTGACTATATATATACAAAAGGTAAAATGCATGAACGTAATATTAGAAAACTCACAAGGAATATTTACATTTTGTGTGGACGTTTTATTCGATATTTTTATATTCACTAGATATATTTCTGATTTTTAAGCATGGAACGGCGACATGCATTCACACTTTATTCCAAAAAAAAAACTATTGTTTGTTTACACGCTGCCTCAATCATCACACGAACGAAGGCTATTTAGTACATGTTTTATTTTTGAATAAATTGCACTCGACTTGACTTATATTTCCTATCCGATGGGTGAACGGCTTCAATACGTTTTAAAATTATTTTTAGGTTTTGTTCCCTCCCATATTCTTCGCTTTAATGTTTTATGTACGTGTATTTTGTCTTTTCGAAACAATCTAAATAAAATCTATCTATCTAATGTGAGTAGGGGTCATGGGTCAAGTCTCATATGTGGACGTAAATATATTCTGAGTTTCACTAAGTGTCGTTTTGATCAGAAACATTAACTTTTACGTTATGATAGAGAATTGTTGTTAATGTTGTTGTTTCATATCTTGAGAATTAAAAAAAAAACAGTTATGTAAAGCTGAATCATATCAAATATTAAAATCCAAAAGCGTGAAAGACTAGATGTTATTTTGAATCATTCAATGTTTGTAAATATATAATGTACTAAAAATTTGATGTTTGAATTAAATCATAATAAGTCACGAATTCCATTACTCATTTGATGCCATACAACAGAATAACTTGCCTTGTTTGTTTCTTGTTTTCTTAGAAACGCTCTCGTCAACTGCACATACTCAATAGCTGAAAGCATTGTCGAGTTTATTTGGGCAATACTCATATTTTATAATTTTACCATTACAACAAATCAGAAGCAGAATAGGTTCGGCAGATTCGAATTGATCTCTTATAACATATGGACCAAATAAATTTAGAAACTTTATGATATTTACCGTTTGTTATTTATTTATTTTGCTATCTCGATTGACCGTGCTCTCCCTCTAGTTCGTTTACTGCTAAATAAAATTAGAATATCACAATAAAATAATTAATATTAATATCACAATAAATAATTAACCTACTACAAATTTATGACACAAATTGTTACACATAAGTTGTAAATTCTTGTTTTTGCCTGAATAAATATATTCCATAATACTTATACAAGGGTGACCCAAAAACGGGGCCCATGAATTTCTTAATTACTTCTACGAAAATGAAAAAATGGTTTAATTTTTTTGCGCTTGAATTTCGGTTTGTGTATGATTATACCCACAAGTTTCAGAAATCTATGACGCTTGTACAAAAGTTATGCTCCTCTGAGTCTAGAATATGTTCCAAATTACCGTCTTGGCATTATATAGACAGACTTGCATCCGTTGCGCAAACTTACAATTACTCAATTACTTTGTTTTCTGCTGGAACGCACTTTCTTCTGTCATTACATGTAAATAACAACAATAATGTTGAATAGAATAATAATGTTTAATGCGACATTTACGAAAGAAGTCTTACAGAGACCGATACAATAGGTAAGAGACATCGCATGGGTAATCATTTCCAAACATGGCATAAAAGAAAGAGATCACAATATGAATATGGAACGTTACGTGATGGTGCCTGTGCCTATGAAGTTTGGAATGTCTATTGGACGATGTAGAGGAATTGATCGAGATGACCAGTGCTTTCAGCATGACTAAACCCTTTTCAACACATCAAATCTCACTATTGACTGGATGAGAGAGCGATTTCAGGAAAGGCTGGTCAGAATTCAGCAATGACGCCGAGTGGGTACCTCATTTATTGGACTTGAACCCTCCCCCCTCCCTCCAACACACACACCAACACATTTTTAACTGTAACGGTTACCAAATGACGACGTGCATCAGATTCATACGATTACATCAGTTCTAGCATAGACAAAATTAAATAAATTCTAGTTTTGTGGAAGTAACTAGGTAATTTATGGGTTCCGTTTTTGGGGGTTAACCTGTATATATAAGTAATAGACTTACATCTATTTAAAAAAGTGATTTCTTCGAAAATTTTAAAGTAGGAGATAACTCTTTTCCTCTGTACTTGAATTCATTTCAAAACTCGTGTTCTATGTAAAGAGTCATCATATTTATATATTTTTGGACATTGTCTCGACAATGGAGTTCTACTAATTCAATTCCCAAAGGGCAGATAAAAATGTTTTAAATTGGTTAGCATCATATTTGAGTAGGTTGCGTCAAAACAAAAATATTGAAACAATCCTGTTATCCTAATATATCTTAAATAATTCCGTATTGCATAAGACACAGAGAAAATGATACAATATCAAATTACAAATTGGGCACATGAATGACTACCATTTTCTTCGAGCATCCCTACAAATAAGCTAAAAATAATGATAACGCAAGTAGTAATCAGCAGTAGTTGACAAAATGTTGCGTTGCAATCCAAGTAAAACCACGAACAAAAATAGACACAGCCTCGGGGAAATTTCAACCGCTAACGAGGTAATTGCTCAAAATAAAACCTATATTCCAGTGATATATTCAGTTTGAAAAATGTTTACAATTTGAGAGAAATAATCGACTACGAATAAGCAATAAATTTGAGATGTAGTAATTGTTTTTATTTAGCGACTGATATTCTGTGATTTTGGGACTATCTAAATAATATGAAGGAATGATGAAGTCGATTTCAAGATTTCTTTTAATATGTTTGATTCTGGACGACATTGTCTGGGGCCAGGAAGAGACAGTGTTTCACTGCTCAGTTAGACCAGAATGTCAAGTTATCCAATGCGACTCACAATCAATTGGTGGATGGAATGAACCTGGATTTGACGTGGAAGGCTACTTAAATGCAAACGAGTTCCCAATCACTTGCCAATCGAAACAGTTGAACATTGTTAACAGTTCAACCAATTTGAGAAATATGATCCCAGAAATGTCGGAAATTACAACCAGACTCAGTTCGATAGAAAGAGGTAGAAAAAAAAAATTCAATATTTACTGATACCATAATTTCAATTACCACATTTGTTATACTGGGTACTGACGCCTGAGATGCATTATGTTTAGTTTTAATTGAATAAAACTGTTTTCAGATGCCAGTGATCTTCTGCAATTTAGAAGAGACTTTCAGAAAAAAGTTTCTATTGTTGAAGAATTAAATGTTGATTTACTAAATGGTAAGTTGATGGTTCCTCCAGAAACTATGAACTGTTCAACTTATTTATATTTTCACTTTATGTTTATTTGGTGATTAGGTTGCAGATTTTTAACTAACCAAAAATGCAACTGTAGTAATAGCTATTAAATGAATAAAAACAATCTATTTCATGACGCAGAATTGCCTATAAGTTGTTTTCCTAATATGAGAATATTATAGAAATCAAGCTTTTTTCTTTATTGCATATAACAGAAATTACACAATTGAAATCAAGAGAAACCAAATTGAAAGAAACGATCAGAACAATACGGAACAACTCAAAAATTGGTAAGTTTGACAACTTCGAGGATTTCACTGTTCTATACCCTATGCACAAGGGTCACCGTTCACATATCGTGATGGCAAATGAATAAAATATATTTACCGTTTAGTATTTACAATGAGAGAAGTAAATTTTAACAAGATATACCAATTTGAAACTGCATATGAAATCAGAGAATCAGAGGTCGATGTAAGCTATAATATGTTTTATTCTAAAGTATTAGAATGCTTATAAATATGTTCATATGATTGTATCATATAAAATATTGAAATAATTACTAAATAAGCGTAATATATATGTTTGTTTTTAAACAGCTGAAAACAACAACAAAATAACATTTCTTGTTCTACTAACATCCATTGAAAAGATGAAAAGCACAAATGAACAATCAGAAAATGGTAATTGTAATTATTTCAATCCATAAAACAATAAGAAGGGCAATGTGTGGTCAAAGTTGCTCTGGCATGTGATGGCCAAAGCGTATATGGTAATGTCTACATGGAAATGCTCTGATATTGCTACCCACTTGTTAGAAATACATAGTCTCGACGTGTATTTACTAAACAAACGAAGGTATGTGTAACTCCAAAAATATGTTCTGTGTTTTATAGAAATAAATACAGTAAAAAAATCCCAGCAGGTGCAAGAATCAGAGTTCAACTTCATAAAGAACGAAAATACGCAACTGAGAGCGGACCTAAATAACTTGAAGGAAGAAAATCAACAAATTCGAAAAAGTTAGTCTCGTTCATCAAGAAAATAATTTTATGTAATTCATAGTTATTTATTATTAAATACAACTTTTTTATCAGTATTAATTGCACTTGAGGAAAAAGTTATATCTCTGAAAAATCCAAAGCAACTTGAACAAGAAACGGGAAAAACTTCTTCGGTTCCGGTTACTGCCTCGATTCCAACTCCCAGAGCTTTGAATGATATATATTCGGACACAAGTAAGCATATAACGAAAGTCTTCACGCACATTCTGTATTGAAAAATACTTTAGGTGGGTCAGGTTTACTGATTAGTTGCTAGATTCAAAAAATGATCGTATCGAATTGTTCCAGTTGTTTGAACTTTTTTGTCTACTTTATAGCGACCATGGAATAGTTTTTCGTGACTCATCTAGTTTTGGCATGTATTTTATGTGTTGTTCTGTTTAATCCTGTGTTCAGATTCCTAATTAAAACAACTATTAGTATTTCTAATCGCATATCCATTTTTCAGAAAATAAATGTGAAATATTGATAGAAAGTAATTGCTACTGGATGAAAATACACAGCGAGGCGGATATGGACTTTGCAAAAGCAGAATCCATTTGCCAGGAAAAAGAATCTAAAATTGCTCAAGTTCCAGACGAGTCAACATATGACATATTTGTAAAGGAACTGCGCTTGAGAACTCCGGGAGGATTAACCAACAATCATGCTTGGATTGGGATTACTGTAAATCCAACAGTAAGTTTGAAAAATCACGGTAATTCAATAATTACATGAATTTCCTAAAATAGTATTCAAAACCATACGATGTAAAATATTGCCGAAAATTCTGTCATATTCTATTACTATCATCACCCTATCACGCGACACATTTTGAAGCCGCAACAGTGCTTTTTACTTTTTTATTCTTTTTAGACTCGTGAAGTATTTCCATCAAACTCATATACAAAATGGAACACAAGGTTTGGTGGATGGGGGATATCAAAGTATATCAATGTTTTTATTGTTGTTGATCCCAGAAGACATGGAATGAGAAACAGCCTCCCGACTACAAAAAGAAACGGTGTTATTTGCCAGAGGATGATTACCCAAAACTTTTTCAATTAGATAACTTGTTGTGTTTAGTATAAAATTTGGCATCGGGATCTGGATATGTAGCCTCAATTTCAATTAAAAGGCCTTACAGTTAGAACTTGTGCTAGGCACAGCAAATACAAACTGTCAATCTATAATGTATCTATATTTTCCTAACGTTACAAAAGCTGTAGAAGTCATATTATTCAAAGTTTATTGCGAAATATGTAGGGAACATATGTGGTCTTTCAGTAGGTTCTGGTCAATCCGTGATATACTGTATTTTCAAAATGAAATAGTATGATAACTAAATTATGCTTAACAAATGTGGGGAATGAATACTTTTTTTGTGATGGACTGTTTTTTTTTTTAAGGCTTTGTACATCTAAACTTTCGCGCGTTTTATTTCATTGCATGTTGGTTGCAAGTTGAAAGTAGTATGCCCGCTTATACTTATGGCCGGTAGGCCTTTGATGAAACATCATTTTACAATGCATTCGTACAAAATTGTTTGCATGTATATCATTATCTATAAAACTTGTTGCGACCAGAAAAAAAGATAATATTGAGATTATTATGCCTTGGGCAAAAAACCTTCATATCAAAACTATAGTTTTGACATTGCCTTTGCAATTCATTCTCTCAAAATTATCACGTCACGTCCACCATTGGGTTTTAAAGGTTATATTATGAAAATATTGAAGTATGAACAGATTACTGAAAGGCCCAGGCCCCAGAGTATTATTAGGGTAGAAGTCCAGAGCATGAAAACAAATCAGAGAAAATGAAGGAAAGGAAAGTTTAGAAAGCAATGATAATTTATATCAAGACTGCAAACAAAATTGATTAAAAAATATAGTATAAATGAAATGATATTTTATCAAACAGGAATTCAACGGCGTTTTTTCTATTACTTGAATAATGAATAAATATAACAATCCCTCTCTAACTAACCGAAATGAGACTTCCGCCGTTTTAGTGTGAAATTTATAGGTAAAGTAACATCGATACAGACCTTAATAAATACAATTGAATTTCTACAGAAAAATTTAGCTGAAAATGAATAGCGACATTTATTTTTATTTATTTATAGAAATACCTATGCTAACAAAAATGAAACAAAAATGTAATTACGCGGGATTTTATAATTTGTTACTCATTGCAGGCTGTACACATTCATCGCCTTCTGAAAATCTTCTGTATTTCCTAGATAACTGTTGGTTACCATGTATCATCATTTTCAACACATCATTGTCTACTACTTATTTGTTATGAACTGGACTCTATGCAGGTAGGAAACTGTGCTGCATTGTTCAACTAAACCGGGCTGCGACATTGTTCATTGCGATCCACACAAACTAATTAATTTAAAAAATGAAAATGTTGATATTACTAAACACCTTGATAGAACGGAGTTTCCTATAACCTGCAAATCAACTCAAGCATTCAGTACAATGAAAAAGAAGCTTGCTGCATTAGAGACAAAATTGACAAATCAAAAGCAACATTCCGCCACAATACAAAAAAATTTGGAAAAACCCCTGAGTGTTAACGAGAACCAAAATTTAGTGAAAGGTAGGAATAGAATCTTTTTCTAAACTTTTACAATAAAATGTATGAATATAAAATAAATCACCTAGTAAATATCAAAATGTCGAGCAAAAATCTATTTTCTTTGAGTGATTTTCAGTAAGAAAATATAATATTTTATTAAGATTGCCCTTGTGGGCACTTAAGTCATGGAGGGTAGTGGAATCATTCAGAAAACTTGACTTAGACTTTTTCAATAGGGAAATCGATTTAGATAACCTCAATTCAAGTTCTTCCTAAACGAAACGCGACTTGGAGTTATTGGGTAGTGCATCTGATGAAAAAATATTCACTTTACTTTTGTTATCAAACTCGATCAGCAATGCAAACAACTGTTACAATTAAAGTTTTATGAAGAAATTATTTTTTATAAATAAAATTGCTATACATATTTGTGATAATTTTTTTATTTAACCTAGACAGGAAGTATAATGCCATCTGATCATTACACCAAAAAGGCCAAATATTGGAAGGGCATACGAACAGTGGAAACATGTATTCCTTTACGTTGATAAAGCTCCAATATACAGTGGTCAAGGCATGCGCAATCACAATCCGTCAAACGAAATACACGGAGTGCCAGTTTAATACCTAAAGTAGTGAATTTCAAGTTTATATATAATTAAAGATAAAAAAAACGGGGTGCTTTTGACGTTGTAATAACTTTACATTTATTCTAATTGAACCTAGTTACCAATAAAAAAACTTTGCCCATAACTAAAGTAATAAAGTATCAATTTCCGGACTTCAGTTTAATTACTGAGTAAATTAGGGAGAAAATTTAAAAATATATATATAAAAAGAGATCGCACACTGTCATGGGGACCTTTAGTTCAGTTCTATGTTCCTAAACAGCCTGCACTTTGCATTTGTCAAATTGACAACTCGCTCTATCTTTAACCGTTTCCCATGCATTTGTTGCTAACTATTTCTAACATGCCAGGTGACTAGGAATGTTTCGAATATTTTATTTTCGAATCAGAATGTTGCGATTCGAATATTTTCGAATTTGATTCTGATTAGTACAACATCATATTATCGTTAACCTTCTTTAAAACTGAAATAATTACGGGATTAATTGTGATTAAATACCATTAACGAACCTAATAATGAATAGGGTTAGTAGAAAGAGACATTCAATAGATGCAATACATACCCGATATTTTGGGACTTTTGTGGGACAATTTACTTATTGTTAGATGAAGCTACACGCAGTTTCATATTTATTTTTTATTACATAAATTCAGCGATCGTTTTCGTATAAAATTGTTTTTTCTACTTCATTCTAATGATGAACATCAGTTATATGAGCTTCATTACCGTTTGCCCCATGATTTTGAATAGGCAATGGTTACGAGGAAAACATCGCAGACCTATAATTTAAAAGGGAATGATGCAATGATGTTGTTATCATAATAATATTATATTGGTTGATATTTTATTTATAAAACTTCTCAACATTTTATGTACTCGAACTAAATTAAACTAAAGTTCCTCTGAAACGAGGTTACCGAGAGTGTTACGACCTGGGAAAAGCTTTAAACAAACGGGAAAAAACAAACGCAGAAACTTTTTGTGTCGATATCGCGCCGCGTCCATCGCCTCTTGTTTTCTGAGTTATTATTATTTCTTAAATACAATCAAGCCGTTTTTTTTTAAATTGCTCCAAATCAATTCGAATGGATGTTGACTCGAATCGCTTCGAAATTCTGAAATTTACATGCCTTCTGGTGACGCGTTATTACTACGGCCTGGTATATATATAAGCTATTCCACTTCCGTTCTGCGTCACTTGTATGAAAACCTTGGTCAGTAACGCAATAATAAAGATAAAATAAAAATAATAACAGATAAACACAAAGAGGTATCTGCCAAAGTTCCCCAACGATGTGCGTCATTACTTTGGAGGATACATTTTGATACATCACTGGCGACATAGAACACATGTTGCATTGACTAAGTTTAATTTCACTGCTACTAAGAACGATCGAGAGTCACATAAAGAATACGAGGGTTAATCTGAGACCAAATCAACTACGGACTTCATTTCGGTATCTCCTGCTCATGTTAAAATTTTAACACATCTTCCCGTGACTGCCTTTTAGATAATTCAGGTCGTGGTGCCCACCAATCATAAATGTTGTTGTTAATTACTGGTGTCGCGCTTAATACAGGTTCTCTTAAATATTCAGCTGGATTAAAATATGTGGTTTTCTGCGTTCACACCAGGTTAATATAAATGAGCTCAAAGCAGACAGTCCAATTGTTTCCGCTTCTAGTTTCATTCGAACTATCGACTATTATCACTCAGCATCTATATTACATAGCGTGACGTTGTTATCCCCCTGAGTTCACTTACAATCAATCCGAAATATGTTCATCACAAATTGATTTTATTTTGTTCATCTTTCACGAAAGTATTGGAATCGAAATGTGCACATTGTTTTCAGCGCACCGTTATGCGCAGATTTTTTTTTAATTCTCTTTTCTTAAAACACTTAACTTACTGTAAGTAGTGAGAAAATCAAGAATAAATTCTTTTTCTTTGTGGCGCATAAGAAAATGACGCACTTTCAACGTTTAAATATCTCAAAATTTTCCATTTGTGATCAAGATTTCTTATATTTTGCCTCTTTTGTATGCATTGTACCATCGTTCAATCTCATAAACTCCGGACAGATATGTGGTAAAAACATTGAACAGAGGTGTATTGGGTTCATTATTTGTGCTCTTTTAGAATGAAAAAAAAAATTTTGGAGATCGGGTTTGACTATAGGCTGAGTTTAAAGAGCAAAGTTTGCCTTGCTTGCTGAGGGCATAAAATGCACATACTCCTTGTTAAATATTGAGTGAGTAAAGTTTGCAATTCTGAAAAGCGGTTATATGAAAAATATATCTTGTTGTATCATACATTTGTTGACTACGTATTTTTTATTCCAAGCAAATTCAGTGGAAAGGCGGAAGTTCTTAAAATAATGCAATAGTCCGCTTTTTATAAAAACATGGAATCAAACCATGATGGCTGAAATGTGATCGCGGAACCGCCATAAGGTGCGCAATGTTTAATTTTGATGGCGTCATCACCCAAAGCTTCAAAGGGTAAAAACAAATATCAAATCAAATTAATCACAGATTACATCGATACTTCTCAAACATGGTGTCACGATGGCCTAGCGATGGCTGTCCAACCCGTGGGACGCATGCGGCCCGTTCTTGAATGAGTTTATAAGCAAATTCTTCAAATTTTTAGTATTTTATTTGGGCTAAAGTACGTTTCGTGATTTTGGCGTGATTGTTTCGACCATCTACATCCAAATATCGGTTCTTTTTCATCACGCATATATTAAGTCTTGCGCTTTAGTGGACATCGATGTTTAAGTTTTTTTTTTTTTTTTCATTTTTCGCGGAACTGCGCGTTCCGTTCGACAAACGCGAAAGCTACTGACTGAGCGATCATCGACGACAAGACGCTGAGGAAAATTAGAGGAATTAATTTGCAACTCAAATTAGCTTCATTTTGAATATGATCTCGTGTCATCTTTGATCGTCCTTATCGTCATGGAAAAATAAAATGTGGAAGACCGAAAAGTCGCTTATATCTCGTGCGATTTGCGCAAGGCTGATTGTTTTCGTCAGATTGATGTGAGTATTTAGATCGTGAACATCGGTAATATGTCTCTAAATTATATTTTCACAAATGCTCATAAGTAAATATAGATGAGGGCATGTGCCACAAGGACGTCGATTATTGGATATAGTGTACGCGGTGTAAAAAACTTGTTATTATGCGGTCATCAATAAATATAAACAAAGGAGTGAATACACAACTCAAATTTCCGACTGAAATAAGTAAGTGATTATTAAGACTGAAGAATGTTGTTTCTAAAATGACTAAAATATAAGGAAAAACACCATGGATTTTCTTTTCGGGTCGCCGCTAAATGTGAAAAATCTATGCAACGGAGAGAGAGAAACTTTTGTGTTTGCTTCTTTTTGTTCAACAATTTTACTCCACATCCCAGTACAAAGTTGGCAAAAAGTTTATAATGTGTGCTGAATAAACTTTCATTCGTAAATTTTTAATTTCGAGAAAATAGGAGATGGACGCGAGCTC